GAAGATGCTCTGTAAACATCTTTTGACCCTTTTTAGGTAAACCAGAGGTGGTTACTCAGAGGGTTGCAGACCTTTGCTTGTAACACAAGTCAGGATTAAACATAGAAAGGAAGAGAGGAAAAGGAAGTGGTGCCCTCAACCACAAACAGAGCCCAGGTGGGCATCAGACATCTCTGAGCGATCTGCCACCCACGTTGGTGCTGACTCACACGAGCTGCTGAGCTGACCTTGGATTTTATTAGATACCTTCACTTCTGCTGTGTCTCCCCAGTGCTGCTGGCCCTCCAGAAAACTCAAGTTTAGAGGCAAAGATTTAAGGGGTGTAACTTTCCTGCTTTCGAGTTCCCACCACCATCAGCTGGAGTAACAAAATTTTTCATGCCATGGCTGTGTGGATTCGTCTTTTTCCTACCTTTTTCCTGGCTCACCCAGCTCAGGCCCTTTCCCTGCTCTACCAGACCCACTGATTTTAACAAGCAGCACCCATGGAGTCAAATCATAGGAAAACTGCTCAGTTGCAGGAAGAGGAAGTGAGGTGAAACCTGCAGCAGAGCTGAAGTGATTAATGGGGCACTGCTCTTGGAACAGCTTGGTTTGTGATATTAATAATGAGAGAATTCAGGAGGGAACCTAACCTGTTCCAAGCCACAGAGCCGGCAGCAGCAGGAGATGCAGTGGGGAAGCTCCTGTGCTTGTATTTGTAAAACAGGAGAAATTGAGTGGGCACAGAGGATGTGATGCTGAACTGGGTGTAGTGGACGTGCTTACACCTTGGAGGACTCATTCTTAACCTGTCTGAAATGCAAAAAAACACATGTAGTCATAAATGCATGATAATCATAATGCAAATGCATATTCATCAAAAATTACTTAAGCTTGAGACTGGTGAATTAGACAGGGAAAAAATGTTTATCCCACAAGGGAAGAAGACAAGGAAAAGGAAATATTTAGTAAGAATGAATTTGCTTACAGGGTAAGAATAATTATATGTGGTGTTTCACGTTTTCTTCCTAAGCATTCATGTCTGGTGATGGTGAGAGATGGGATACAGGCCTGGCAGACACCTGGCACCACTTCACAGTGAACACTAGGAAAAGAAAGAAGGAACTTGAAACCTTACTAATAACAGCACATCAACAGTTCAGAAAGTGGAAACATTTGGGGCATGGCAGCTGCTAAAAGCAGAGGAGACCTGCTGCTGTGTACTTGAAGGGGATTTGCCATCCAATGGAATTTTGTTCATGCATACCTGTGCAGCTGGAGTGAGGAGAGAGCACATCCTTCGTGCCACTGGTTCATGACAGCTGGTCCAGCCCAAGCCCTTGAGAAACAGCTGAGCCTGCAGCATCCTTAGGGACACTCTGCTGTCAACACAGGTTTCTCCAACAAATCCCTTGTGCCAAGTCCTGAGGAAAAAAAATGTCCTTCCACTCCTGGGAAAAAGGAAGAAGGCCAGAAGAAGAGCATCCAGATCAACCTGCCCTGGGGCCATTTATCATGTGGGCAAAGCAGGCTCTGCCTGGGTGGTTTGGGAGCATTCCCACAGGCTGCAGAAGGCAGCTGCTGTGCCCAGTCTGCAACTGGTATCTGGCACCAGAACATGCTGGTTCTGTGAAGCTCCCAGGAGACATTGTGTTCCAGGAATAATCTCAGGAAGGATGAGCAGCCTGGACAGCAGAACACCTGCAGGGCTGGTCAAAACACTGTGGGATGGAAGGAAAACCCTTCTCTCAGGAGTGAGAGCTTGCAGACCTGGGCAGAATAAATGGGCAAGCAGTGGTGCAAGTGCAGATGATTTCCTCTGAAAGATGATTTCAAGTCCAGTGGTCAGTGGTAAAGTGCTGCACATTTTGGCATCTCTTGCCTTAAATTCTGGAGCTGCTCACCACACTCACAGAGACTGAAATCCCTTTCTCCCGTGTCCACCTGGAGAATATCCAGCTTTCCCATCAGGAAGGTGTTCCTGGCTGGAAGGGGTGGATGCTCAAGTTTGAATTGATTTCAGCTCTCTCCACAGCTAACTCTGCAATGCCTGGGCATGCTTTGCCATGCAGAACCTGCATTTTGCACAGTAGATCCTTTCATAAGTGTGGAGCTCCAGACTTCCTGAATGGAGATGTGGATATATAAAGCATTCCTACATCATTTGACTTCTTATGGCCTAAGCAGACAGAGTGGTGACACAGTTTAGAGAGGGATGGAGACAACAGCTAATTAAAGTTTGGAAGACAAGCTTCTTGATTTGTTTTGAGCTCTTGCACTCCTCAGATTTCTTCAGGTGTGAGCCAGGTCTGGCATTAGGTGAGCAGATGGGTTTTATGGCTCCCTGGATGTGGAGAGGCAGACTAAGGGAGGGAAGATTTGCAAAAACAGGAGCATAACTTGTGCCTGGCTCCCACATCTGCTGGTGCCAGTGAGTGCTCTGTGGCATTTAGGAGCAGAGTGGGCTCTTCCTTAAATAAGGGATGGTGGAAGTGCAAAAGCACACCCAAACCCCCACCCAGGAGTAGTTGGGGAGCATCTGGAGGGGGACAGAGTTCAGCTGGCAGAATCCTTGTGGTGGATTATCACTAAACTGCCAGATTTTTATTGTGGAAGATGGGTTGTGTCTCTCAGATGTGCTGCAGAGAAACTGCAGCCTGGGAAAGGGAGACAAAAACGATTGTCTAGCTATTGAATAAAATTCTGTCCTCTCGATTTACACCCCGACTGCCTCTGGAAAGCCCCTACACTATGGGATTAACTGTGGTGCCAGTGGCTTTATGGGATGGACCTGAGCACGTCCTTGCTGGTATCTGCAAGGAGTCCCCTGCCCTGCTGGGAGCACCAGGCTCAGCTGCCTCTCCGCAGAAAATGAGGTCGTTTGGGGACAGTCGGAAAACTTCTGGAAATCTGGGTGAAAAAGGCAGTATCTCCAAATAAGGTGGGAATGAGGAATCCCATCGGATTCTTCCAGGGCTCCCAGTTCTCCAGCGGGCGTGCAGGGACCTCTTGTGGCGGCTGTGCCCGAGAGCTCCCGTCCCTGCTCTTGTGTTCGGGTTCTTTTGGGACAAGCCTGGCCCCCGAGCCTGCGGCGTGTGGTTGAATATTTGGCCTGATCTGGTGTCAGGGGACTTGTTTGTAACTGGGCTTGGAAGTCTCCAGTTCCAAAACCGCCCCCGGTTAATGCCATTGCTGCAGAGGAAGGAAGACAAGGAGAAAAGGCTGGAATCGGGGTTGTAAGAAACTACAGCTCAATGGAAAGTCCTGGTAAAATTAAATAAAATCTGGGCTAAAATGACCCAAAAAGTAGTTTATATGTAACTGTTGGTAGTGCTCTAGCAATGGGATCAAAGTCCTTGAACCAGAGGCTGAACTAATCACGGCTTAAATTCCTCCCATGCAGAAGTGGTAGGTAAAAGCTCTCCAGCCTCCAGAAACATTTTAACTATTCCTGTCCCCGAGCCCGGCTGAATGCTCATCTTTAGGATAAACTCACCACAAATGGAGAAGCCCTTAGGGAAACGGGGCTGGACTTGCAGGCATTCCATGGTCTGGGATTTTCCCTGCAGACAGGTGAAGGGCAGAGTTCTCACCAGGGAAAGGGGCAGTCAAGATTTTTTTGAGGCTAAAACACCGCAGATGGCTTCTCATTCAGAAACCGGCTCTGTGCAATTTTATACTCAATTAATTGTTAAATGATTTTTCTCCTCAGTGCCCTGAGCAGCCCAGCACGTCTCCAAGGCATGTCTCTCTTTCCTCAGCACATCTTATGCTGAACAAAAATGTCTTTGCATTTGGTCTTCTCAGTAACAGATTAGCCTGTGTGATCCTTGCAGTCCTAATACATGAGATTATTTTAAATCCCCTGAGCACTCAGGACTGCCTATTACTTCAGGCAGTGTCTCCCTGCCACGTAACTGTTATGAAAGTACATTGTCTTGCCTGGCTTTTAAGCAAATTTGTTCAGCATGAAGAGATGCTTTTCTATCAGTTGGGACTATCACAGAAACACAGAATCGTTTAGGTTGGAAAAGAACCTCACCCGTCTCCCAATTTGATTTAATCACTCAGCGTCCCTTCCATCAATGTGTATTTAATGTTTTTGTGTCCATCACCCCAAAGCCAGGGCAGCAACTAAGAGCTCAGGCTGCACACGCTTCTGTTTCAGCGAAGAGGAAGTAGAAGATTTCATCCAAAATTAATACCTCAAAGGAGAGGTGGAGTTTGACATTAATCGGTGTGTACACGGTGACTCAGCCTGGCGGCAGAAGGGGAAGCGAGGGCTGTGCAGCAGCTTCTGCTGGAGACATCAAAAAGCAACAAGGGAACGATCAAATTACGGGAAGCTGGAAAAGCAGTTGTAGGGTAGAACTAAAATTGTGGCTAAGGGATTGTGAATTTCCACAACCTCCAGAGAACAGGGCTGGGGTATCCCAGACATCAGGAAGCTCCTCTTGGGACCAGACATGGGACAGGGGGATGAGGGATAACAGTGCTGTGGGCAGAGCGTTTTTCGGCAAGGCAATCAGATCTTTTTCCGTGCTTGATGTGCGCTCAGCCCCAGCGCTGTGGTCGGAGTGAGGACCCGGGGTGAGCAGCGGCTCGGAGAGCTCCTGCCCAAGGAAGCAATGACGGGCATCACCTGCCGGGGATGCTTTGGGGTGAAGGACCGCCGGCCGCAGCACCTCACGGGAGAGGCGTTCGGCCACCCGGTGCCACCAAGGTGGAGGAGAAAGCTCCGGGAACGAGGGAAGTGCCCCCGGTTCCCGCACAGCGACGGGACACGCGTTCCCCTCTCCATGCCACGCTCTCAGCCGGCTCCGGGCTAGCACCGCTTCTGCCGTTCGATGCCGGGGAAGGCGGATCCCTCTCCGGGGGCTCAATTCCCGTTCTCCCGCTCCCCGACGGGAAGCGCGGCCGGTGCAGGGCGGTGCCGGCGGGGCGGTGCCGGTGCCCGGGGCGGTGCCGGTGCCCGGGGCGGGCCCCGGGGCTGGGCGAGGCGGAGCCCGTCGGGCAGCGAGGCCGGTCCCATGGGAGTCCGGCGGGCCGGTGGATGCCCATGGCTTTCAGCCCGGGGCTGCTGGTGGTGGCCGGTTCCTTCGCCGCTTTCCGCCTGCTGAACCGGGGGCTGGAGCGCCTCGTGCCGCCGCCGCCCTCGGCCCGGCGCAACCGCTGGAAGTGGCGCAACATCTGGACATCGCTGGCACACAGCCTGCTCAGCGGCGGCGGGGCGCTGGCCGGGTGAGCGGCACCGCGGAGCCCCGCGGGGACACCGGGACACCGGGAGGGAACGGGGACGTCGAGGGACCCCGACGGGAACCTGCGGCCAAGGGGGCACTGAAGGAAATGGGGGTGTTTGGGACCCTGGGGAGCGTGAGGAGCTGCAGACCGGGGGGCACTGAGAGAGGGAGGAAGGTCCGAGGGACAGGGAGGCACCAGGGAATGGGGAAAACAGGAGAGGGGTGGCTGTGGGTGTAGCTGGGCAACAGGAGGTCTCCGGGGAGGGTCGGCAGCACCAGGTGGGTACTGAGGGCACTGGGAGGGAAATGGGGAAGCAGAGGCGCTGCCCGACACTCACGACCTCTCTCCCTGCAGGTTCTACCTCCACCCCGAGATGTCCAACGACCTGGTGGGCACACACCCGCCCGGGGCGCACAGCCTGGTGGCCGTGTCTGTAGGTGAGGTGTGGCGATGGACTGTCCCCTGCTCTGTCCCCCGGGGGGTCTTCACGGGCTCGTCGGTGCCTGACACCAGCCCCTCGAGCCATGTCGCGATGTCTCAGGCACCTCAAACAATCGCCCTATTCTTGGCAAAGGACAGTGGCTCCTTTCTGTCCCACGGCACCCGCAGCCAGGAGGTACTGGGCACCGGGCTGCCCTCCACCGTCCTCGGGGGGAGCTGGGGCGTCCCAAAAGTGCCCACATGGGGTTGGTGGAGTTAATTGGTGCCTCTTCCTGGAAGCACGTCCTACAAAGTGATTGAAAGAGGGATCCAAACCACACCAATTTCCTTCTTTTCCTGTGTGTGACTCCCCACCCACACAGATGTGACCATCACTTCCCTGGGGCGGCTGCCCAGCCCAGTTAGGTGCAGAGCCCACTGGGACAGGGGGGATTCGTTGGCAGAACCATTCCTGATAGCCTTTTTGTTCACGGACTCTCCAATCCCAGGCTATTTCCTTGAAGACTTTGTGGACATGTTGTGCAATCAGAAACTTCATCAGTCCTGGGAGCTGCTCTTTCATCACTCTGTGGTGAGTGCACAGCACAGGTACCACCAGGGAGGCTGGGGATGGGGGACACAAGTGAGGCTCCCACTGTTCTTTGTGTGGGTGTTTGCTGCCTGTTATTAAGTCTGATTTTATTTCCTGGGGAGAGGAGCCAAGACAGCAGGGCCTGGAGCTCCTGTTGGTCCTGCAGGACTCTGTACTCATAGATGGCCTACAGAAAGGCATCCAAAAATGGACTAGGAAAACACCATGTGTACATGGAGTATGAGGGCAGAGGGCTGGGCTGATCCACAACAGTGTCACTGACAGCAGTGACCCCAGAGTCCCTGTCTGGCACAGGTGAGCAGCTCACCTCCTGTGGCTCTTGCCCTCCTGAGCACCTGCACACCCCCTCCATCCACCTCCCACTCCCCAGGGTGCTTTCCTCCCACCTGTGGCTGGTGTGCCTGGTGCAGCTGTGATGCAGGATCCCTGCTCCAGTGCCTTCTGCCTGTCTTGCTGAGATTTCTGTGGGTTTCTCTCTGATCACCTCTGATGTCCAGGTGCTGGAGTGTTTTTCCCAACCAAAACAATTCTGTGATGCTGAGACTGTGGATGCTGCAGGGCAGGGGGGTGGCACAGCCCGGAGCAGAGCAGCGGAGATACTGCAGGGTTCAGAGGAGGCTCAAGGGTGTGCAGGATCTGGGGAGGGGGACAGGGACAGTGCTGGCACTCACCTGGGATGAGATGGGGTATTCAGACCTGCTGTCAGTGAGCCCTGGGGCTCTGCTGGCTGCTGCTGGTGAGCCAAAAGTTCATCTCCACAATAGAGCTAATTCAAGCCAAGACAGTGACTTAACGAGCGGGGAGCAGATAATCTCATTACAGAGCCCATACAGAGAACAGCATTAATGGCATAAACCAAAGAAAGGACTGAGTGTGCTGAAGCGTGGGCAGGCAGAGCCTGTCCCTCTGCCTGGCAGGGAGGGTGTGGGGCAGGAATCCTGTCCCAAACAGCCCCGTCCTCTCCTGCAGCACCCAGCAGCCCCAGGGTGCTTCAGGGGGCTCTCTGATACACCAAAGCCACCTAATCCCTGCAGGGTGCCTGTTCTGGAGAGAATCCCTGAGCCAGCAGCAGCCATAGCCCTGGGCTACGGTCTCCCTTCCTGTCCATTCACTGTGTTTGGAAAAACCTGCTGGGCCACAACAGGCTGCATTTCCCAGGCCACAACCGCAGGGTTAGGTCAGGCTGCTTTGTCTCCTCAGCCAACCTGGGGCTTAGAGAGCTGTTTCCTTCTCTTCCCACTGGAACAAAAAAACCCACTTGGGTTTCATGCAATGATGAGGAGGTGCCAGAGGCTTCAATGCTGCAGGGATTGCAAACCGGTGGTTTGGCACTGCTGTGATGATCCTTTCCACCTCTGCTCCATGCTGTGCCCAAGTGTGGAGGGTTCCAGCTTGCAGCAGCTGAGAGCAACCAGCCCCTGGGCTCAGCCTCTCTTCTCCCTCCTTCCCAGGTCATCATCTGCTTCGGTATTGCTGTGCTGCTCCACCAGTACGTTGGCTTTGCCCTCGTGGCTTTACTGGTGGAGATCAACTCCATCTTCCTCCACCTGCGGCAGATCCTGCTCATGGCCAACCTGGTGCACACCACCTGCTACCGCCTCAACAGCCTCATCAACCTGGGCACCTACGTGGTGTTCCGCATCGCCACACTGGCCTGGATGACCCGCTGGCTCTTCCTCAATCGCCAGAACGTGCCCCCGGCCACCTACGCCGTGGGCACGGTGGGCATGGCAATCATGACACCCATGAACATCATCCTCTTCTACCGCCTGCTGCGGAGTGACTTCTTCAAATCCAGACGGGACGTGCGGCGGGAGAAGGAGGACTAGCCTGCGAGGAGGGGCAGTTCCAAGCCCACGGAGCAAGTGGAGGGTGAACGTGGTTGTTTCAGTACCTTGCAGGGAGGGGCTGCACTAACAGAGCATCCAGGCTTTTCTTGTGGCTCAAGATCCTGGGCCCTGCACAGCAGAGGAGGTGCTCATGGACCAGGATCTGCTCCCCAAACACTTTTGGATGATGTGGTCGGACAACTGGAAGCTGCTCAGAGAAGTCTCGACAGGTCTCACAGCTCCCTGAGGCACCACTGAGATGAGAAGGGGGCAGAACAGCATGGTTTCCCCACTGCTCTTCCAGACATCCTGGCACCACAGGGTGTTTCCAGTCCCTCTGGTGCTGCAGCCCCCAACATCCCATCAGTCACAGGACACTGAGTTCTCTGTGCTATCTCCTATGGGAACACCAGCAGCAAGACTCCAGGCAGACTCCTTGGAGCAAAGGATGATGGTGATGGTCAATAAAAACCAAACCCTGCACTGATGAGCCCTCCCTGAGGAGATTGTCCATGCTGAGACCTGGCTGGCTGGCAGGTGACCACTGTGGGGTCCAGGTCAGGGACAGCCCCAACCTCTCCTTACAACTGGGGCTTTTTCCATGTTGTTTCATCCCCAGATAATTTAAGTGCCCATAAATGAGCGTGGGAGAGCACGAGTGGCTGGCAGAAGGATGCTGTGTGATGGTAACTTCCCACAGATCTGGGGTTTTCAGGCACCTTTTAGGACTCGGGCATCTGTTAGGAATGCCAAGTTGTGCTGCAGAGCCTGGTGTAATGCTCTCACCCGGCAGCAGAGGCTCTTACTAACACGAGCTTTTAATAAATGGCTGCAAATGAAGTGGCTTGAGGGGAAAGGGCTGAGAGGGGACAAAAGGACTCAGCATCCCAGCTCACTCTGGGGGTGTCACTGCTCAGCACAGTCTTTACCCTGTGTCTCCCTGCCACGGAGTGAAAATACAGTGTACACTGGCACACTCTACCTCTCTTCTTGTGGTTTTTTTTCCCTATCCCTCTCCTTTCTATGGAAGAAGATGAAGGTTTTAAAATGTTTTTCTACTCCACATTTCCTTTTCCTCACCAATTCTCACACACTGGGCTGTTCCCCATCAGCCCAGCACTGTGTATATAACAGGATCATCCCACTTGGAGTTATGTGAACCAGTCTGGGTTAAGAAATCCCCATGGCCAGTCACGTTTCCTTTGTGTGGCAAATAAGCTTTAACACAAAATCTCTCACTTGGTTTGAAGAGCTTGGGGACAGGCTGGAGCAAGGCACTGCCCAGAGAGGGTGGCACGTGTTTTGAGGAAGGAGACACATTCCTGCTGGGCAGGGAAAGACAAGTGATCCATGGGCAGTGTGAGGCTGGAGACAATGCGTGGCCAAAGCCGCTTATGTTTCTATTTGTGGAGAGCAGGGAAGCTTCCAGGTGCTGGGCACAACTACTCCAGGTTTGGGTTTGTCACCTCAAGCAGTGTGGAGGTGCCTGTGTGCCCCTCACAGCTCCCAGCTGGAGCAGAACTGTCATCAAGGGCCTTCTCTTTGGTTTGACCCATGTATTCCAAATTCTCCTGGAGCTGCTCCACTGATCCTTGCCCTCAGCACAGCCCCTGCATCCGCTAAAAACGCTGCCTCTGCTCTCCAGCCTCTGCCCACAGCCAGGATGTTTCTCAAGGCCTGGATTGTGTTCCCACATTCCTGCTGTCACGTGGATGTCCTGTACCCTGAGCACACGGGGTTGGGGGGCCAGGGGAGCCTGGTTTGGGGGCCTCTTAATCCGCCGTGATTTTCCCACAGGGCTAAGGTGGGATAAGCAGTGGCTTTGCAGGTCACCGAGGTCGGATGTGGGGATGCCCTGTGCTTGTCCATCCCCATGGAAAGTGCCACAGCCTTGGCTTGAAATGTTTTGGGAAGGACTGGATCTCTCTATTCCCACCATATAGGGGACCACAGGGCTAGAAGGAGCATCTCCATCAGGGAATAAATTGCTGGGGAGCAACGCCCCAGCCTGCCACCCAATCACCCCTGCTCAGCCCCATCCAATATCCCTCTAGAACAAACCCTTCTCCTCATGGGAGCCCCTACCCTGGCAAAACCCTAAGGCAAGAGCCTGCCCGGCTGTTGAGCAGCCCCAGCAACACATTGAAGCCACCTACAATGAGCTGGACCTCACATTTTCACAGATGCTGGGCAAACACTGAGTGTTGGGGGCACCTGTGCTCCTGGAGAGAGGCAGGAAGGGGGCAACGAGGTGGGTGGCTACTGCTGGGGGATTAGGGGCCATCGTGTGGCCATGGGGGCAGTGGGGGTGAGGCATCACTGAGGCGCAGCATCCCCCTGCCTGCCAGGGGCACGGGAGCTGGCTGAGATGGGCTCAGCCCCACTGAGGGGATGTCCAGGCCCCGTGGGGAATGTCCCCGCGCTGCTCCAAAAGGGACATTACCGGGATGTGTCCGGAATAAGTCCAACATGTCCCCCTGAGGGCCTCCCCCGCCCCTACCACCCTTCGGGAGGGGGGGGAGGCGACCCGGCCCGGAGCGCCCCCTACAGCAGCGAGGAGTGAGCTGCGCCAAGCGCTGTCCAATCAGAGGCGGCGCTGCGCTGTCACCACTGCCCCTCTCCGCCAATCAGAAGCAGCGAAGGGCGGGACCGGGGGAAGCGGGACACCAGACCGGAAGTGTGTGCCAGACACAACTTCCTCCCCTTTTCCGCCCTCAGTCTCGCCCCCGCCTCCTCCGCACTCTGATAGGATATTCCTGCTGTCTGTCAGACTTCCTAAAAGCTGACTGGACAGCCCGTGCTGCGAGTTCCGCCTACATCCGGGTCTCGCAGGCGCGGTAGCGACGGCGCGGGGCCGCCATTGTGGTGGGGGAGCGCGGGGGTCGCGGCTGCCGGTGAGGGACAACGGGGAGCGGCGGGGCCGGGGTGGACCCGGGGCGGGCGGGAGTGGCGGGGAAGCGACCGGCGGCGGCCTCGTCGTGGTCCCGTACCTCGCTCTGAGCCACTCTCCACCCTCTCCGCAAGGTGCGTCGCCATGGCCGCCGTGTTCCCGTACCGCGGCGGCTGCGCCCCGGTGCCCAACCCGCTGGCGCCGCTGCCCGACTACATGTCCGAGGAGAAGCTGCAGGAAAAAGGTGGGTACGGCCCCGGCACCCCAGATCATCCACTGGGGACAGGGTTTGAGCCGCCGCCTCTGTGTCCCCGCAGCCCGCAAGTGGCAGCAGCTGCAGGCCAAGCGCTATGCGGAGAAGAGGAAATTCGGCTTCGTGGACGCGCAGAAGGAGGACATGCCCCCCGAGCATGTCCGCAAAATCATCCGCGACCACGGCGACATGACCAATAGGAAGTTCCGGCACGACAAGCGCGTCTACCTGGGGTAAGGGATCCCCGGCGTGTGACAGAGGGGGAGCTCAGAGCATCCGCCGCTCATAATCGTTGAGAGACCATTCTCCAAAAGGCATTTCGTGTCTGTTTGTAGCTCTGTGAGGATGCCCTGGGGTATCCGTGCAGAGGAGGATGAGCAACAAGAGTTGTTACTTTGAAGTTATGAGAAAAAACTTCAGCCTGGATAATGCAGCATCGAGGGGAAGGCCCCTTCTCCAAAGGGCTTTAGTGTCAGTTGTAGCTCAGTCTGTTGCTCTGAGATACCAGTGCAAAAGAGCATCAGCAAAGGGAATTGTTGCTTCGAATTTACAAGAAAAAACATTCCTCTGCATAACATGGTGTCTTAGAAGGAGTTGGGGAGAGTATGAAATGCATTTTGCAAGATTGAAAAGCATCCTGAGTGCTTCTTTGCTGTTTTGGTGTAGAGAGCTGTTTAGTGCACATTGTGGTCTGCTGCAGTAACTTACCATTACCCATAAAAACTCCAGAAACTCACTTAAAAACTTCTGGTTTTGTTTGCAACGTTCTTGAAAGCCAGATCACTAGAAAACCTTTTGATAATACAAAGGTAGAGTGGGAAAGGATGGATTTGCTTTTTGGGTTGGATGAGCAGCTCGCAGGAAGGAAAACTGCTAGGTTGCTGGGCTTGTGGCAGGTGGTTGGCTGTCCTTGAGATCCACACCAGGGCGTTTTTCCTTGCAGTGCTCTGAAGTACATGCCCCATGCTGTGCTGAAGCTCCTGGAGAACATGCCCATGCCCTGGGAGCAGATCCGAGACGTTCCCGTCCTGTACCACATCACTGGCGCCATCTCCTTTGTCAATGAGATCCCCTGGGTCATCGAGCCTGTCTACATTGCCCAGTGGGGGTAGGTGCCTTCTGCTTCATTCAGGTGGAGCAAACCTTTTTGTATCCACCATAAAATCCTTCTGATTTTAACCTTTCCCTGCTTTCCTGCAGCTCCATGTGGATTATGATGAGGCGAGAGAAAAGGGATAGGCGTCACTTCAAGAGGATGAGATTCCCCCCGTTTGATGATGAAGAGCCCCCTCTGGATTATGCTGATAACATCCTGGATGTGGAGCCCCTGGAAGCCATTCAGCTGGAGCTGGATCCAGAGGAGGATGCCCCTGTGCTGGACTGGTTCTATGACCACCAGCCTCTGAAGGACAACAGGAAGTACGTGGCTGTAGTAGCACAATTCACTGGGAGAGGGGAAAAACAAACAACGCATGATATTGTTTGTGAATACCTATACAGAGCAGTGTGTAACCTTTGTGTGATGTTGGTGGGGAGAGAAAAACCTTCCATCAAGTGTGGGAGGGAAAACCTGAGTGTTGGAAAACTGCATCTTTTGCTTGCAGGTTGCTCAGAGAAGCTGCCCTGTCCCTGGAAGTGATCAAAGCAATGTTGAATGGGGCTCTGAGCAACCTGTGATAGTGGAAGGTGGAAGGGTTGGAACAAGATGGGCTTTAAGGTTCCTTCCAACCCAAACCATTCTGGGATTCTATGATTCAGCATCCATCCTCCGTCCAGGAGGCCTGTTACCCACTTACCTGCTAAAAGTGATGTTTCTGACCATGCTGTCAAGCTGACAGCCTGCATTGTCTAGCTGGAATTTGAAACTGATACTTGCTAAATGTGCACAGATGTTCTGTGTCGGTTTGGACACAGAGGAGGAGAGGAGCTGGAGCAGCCAGCATTTTCTGGGCAGGAGGAGTCCAGAGTGGTTTTAACAGTGCTGCAGCCTTTTTTTTAAGGCTAGAGATACCTGCGTGTTACCTGTCCTTGATGAACGATGGGTGACAAAAGGTGTTTGGTTTTTCTGGTGCTTTGGTTGTGCTGTGGCTGTGTCTGGAGTGTCCACGCTCTGCTTTCCCAGGTATGTCAACGGCTCCACGTACCAGCGCTGGCAGTTCACCCTGCCCATGATGTCCACCCTATACCGCCTGGCCAACCAGCTGCTCACTGACCTGGTGGATGACAACTACTTCTACCTGTTTGACCTGAAAGCGTTCTTCACCTCCAAGGCACTGAACATGGCCATTCCTGGAGGTCCCAAGTTTGAGCCCCTTGTCAGAGACATCAATCTTCAGTAAGTGTT